GTAATTTGGTTCAGATTTCAGGCAAATTCATGATAAAGTTTGCGAATTTTTAGACTTGGCCTAAATTCAAAGAGAAAACCAAACCCATTCCACCAAATTCACTGAGCTACCATTATGAAGAAATCCAGAGCCCAAACAAATGATACAGCAAAGGAAACAAGTTTCTCTCTTTTTCAATGAAATAACCAAAACTTTATAAGAGAAATCTAGAAAACATAAACTTTCCTTAACGGGTTCGAACTAACAATCGATGAAGAAACACGAGACAAAGATCCAGAGTCCATACCTTTGATCGAAGGAGACGAGAATCCAGGATTTGTGATTTAGGGTTTACGGTAGAGACTACAATAGCAGAAAAGGAAAAAACGGAAAATGGGCTAGATGTCGAAGAGATTAAACTTATTGGGCCAAAAGGCCCATCAAAACGAGATTCATTGGGCCTTCTTAATTTATTGGACACTCTCTATCCGTCAGAAGGTTTGTAGACTTTCTTAATCAATATCGTTTCTTTTTTGGGTCTTTCAATCAAATATATTGTATTTATCGTTTTGTCTTTGATCAAATATTCGTATTTAACTTATCGAATCAGTGACAAGTAGAGGCTATATATTATTCTGTCAACGCTTGGGTTATAAAAAAAGAGAATGAGAATCCAATCTATATATGATGAAATCTATGGGGACGAGATGGGACTAAACAAATATTTATCACAAAAATATTTGATTTTTTTTTTTTTTGCTAAAAGACAAAATTATATGTTGTACTATGATTTTACATGAAGAGGTCGCCACGTGGTTTCGATTTTCCGACCATGGGGAGTTTTATCTTATAAGTGAAGATACTTAGAATAAATTTTTCAAAAAAAGAAAAGATATTTAGAAGAATATAATTATCGTGTAAAAAGAGTAATAAAATCATATAAATTACGTATGTTTTGCACCAAGTGGAGACTCTCTTCAACTGTAGTTTTGATTGCTAAAGCATATTGGCCATGTAGGTTGCACTGAGATCGGTACGGATATAAAATACAGAGATAGGTACCGGAACGGAAAACGGTAAGACTAAAAATTTATAGATACGGGTACGGTAAAGATACGTCAAAATACCTATGAATACATATAAAAAATTATATCATAAATCTCAATATAAAAGAACACTCAATTAATATAAAAATTATATTTATTTTGACGTTAACAATAGAGTTTAAATTACAAAAAAAAGATGTATTAGAGATAGAAAAATATCGGAGTAACGTAAAATTTGTTGACTTGTAAAGAGTCAAGAATCAAGACTATTTGAAAAAAGGAATATCGATTATATATGAGATGTATAATAAATTTGAAACCC